GAGCCAACCTGACCCCCTCCCCGGAACCCTGTGCTAGAGGACAACACTAAACCTACAGGTTGGGAAGAGGGGCCGGCCTGCCATGCCCATACAGCAGCAAACCAAGAAGGAAATAGAGAGTGAGGGACTAGACCCCATACTGACACCAAGCCCTGAGGATGACATACCTGCATGGAGCTGCTAAAGCAGAGATGACTGTAGGGCCCCAAACAGCTCAAGACATGATGTCTCCTCGTTGCAGCATATCATGACACAAAACAATACTGGGGACACATGGCAGGGAGTAAATCCAGTCTGACTCCCCCATCCCTACAATGGGGCAAACCAAGAAGGGTACTTAACAGATCAGCAATGGGAGCAAAGCCAAGCCACAAAGCCCGAGGAGTCCCAAAAATAGTCTTCAGGCTAGGAGGGGGCAGTTCCCAGAACCCTCTGGGACCAGTGTGGAGATAGTCATAAAGGTTTGTTTTCTGTTTTGTCTCCATTATTGTTTTGTCTACCTATAGAAGATAGGAATGGGAAGCAAACTCAAGGAGAAAGCAATGGGTTCCAGGGGAACGTGGGGGGAGGAGGGAGTGAGGGTGGAGGGGAACTGTGAGCAAACAATGCCACAGACAGGGGAACAACTAGGGAATTAAAATCGATGAGGACGATGTAGAGATCCAGGGGGTGTTGGAGCAACAGCAATGTAGGTGAGAGGAAGTAATGAGAGGCAGAAAGTGGTTGAGCATGATAGTGGGACAGAAGGAAGGTAAAACAAAACAGAGGAAAGATCTAGGAAGCTATGGATAGAGGTATACACATAGATGTGTACACCTGCAAATATATTTGTTCATAAAAACAGGGGTATTGGCCTATGTACATATATTTATTTGATAATATATTAAGGAAGTAGGTGGACTTTGGGGCCTCTGCTCAAACCCTCCCTCAATGCAAGAACATTTTATTCTAACCACCTGGCATTCTGTGATGCTCACCCTCCCAAGTAGATCACTGTAGACAAAATGGGTGTGGTGCATAAGCAAATGTGATAAAGAAAACTGATGGTGCCCAGCTATTAAAAGATATAATGTCTGGGGTCTTAAAGGCTTGTATTAAACGAGCAGCCATCTAGCAGAGAAGCAACAAGCCCACATGGAAGCACACCAGCCTGTGTGATCATTAGGTGTTGATGGAATCAGGTAACAGGCATCAAAGACCCAAAACACACATGTTGAGAACAAGGGGGTTGAAAACAGAGACCTAAAACCCATCTGTAGACAATAGGACATCCCCTCAAAGAAGGGTCACAAGGAAGGGATGAGTCAACCAGGATGCAGTATAGCACTGATGAAATACTTAATGAGGCGTCCTTACCTCCCAATATCATAACCCCCGTCCTGCCTTTCAGTTCTGGCTAGACCGGAGCATGTACACTGGTACAGATCAGAGCTCACAACACAAGGAACCCAGGTCAGATAAACCCCTCAGGAACAAAAATGGGAGTAGCGATACCAGGAAGGTAGAGGAAAATGTGGGGAGAGGAGGCAGAGGGAACCGATTGCAATAATCAACGAACAACAGAATTGTGGGTGAAGGGAGACAGCAGATGTTTTAAGACATGAAAATAATAATTTATAATTTATCAAGGCTTCATGAGGGTGGGAAAAAAGATGAGCTGATACCAAGGGCTCAAATAGACAATGTTTAGAAAATGATGATGGCAGCATATGTATAAATATGCTTGATACAATTGATGTATGGATTGTTTTAAGAGCTCACAATAAAATGATCTTTAAAAAAAACAGCTTGACTATAGAGAAACCATAAACTCATCATCGATGCCATCAGTTCATGTAAGCTTCTAAATTCAAATACCTGACAGGTTAATGTTTTCCTTGATGACGCACTTTTGACTAATAGGTTATCTCACTGAAATGACCAGTGGACACCCGACTGATTCATCAAATGTAGGGGGCTACACTTCGGCTGAGAGCAAAGGTATTCCACCTGCTGTTAAACACCAGGCAATGACCGTTTCTATTGTACAAATGTCACAGTGGGCAAAAGGGAGATTCAGAGCAGCTCCCATTTAGAACGCTACAAAAATTTTAGCATATGACTATGCGATAGAAAGATTGCCAAATGCTTACAAAACTCAATCTTAGTTAACTGAACAACATATAGTAGTAAAATTTTCAAAAATATTTAAACACTTTAAGGAACATATGCATTTGTTCTATTGCCGAATGGAAGAGGCTATTATCACCTTTCCATTATAAAAATAAGCTGTAAATACCCAAATTAGTGGCAAGATTGTAAGACTGAATCTTATTAAAAATATAGCAACATAATGGCTGCAACAATCAATAACTTTTTACTAGTACCATTTAAAAGGGCTATTCACATATACACCACCTAACCAGTATCTTTAGGTTCACATTTGAAATTCTTCCCTTGACTATCCATAGCATCATGTAAAAGATCCTGTTCTATTAAGCTAATTAGGATTAAGAAGGGAAATTATTTGACTATTTACCTGCATACACAGCTCATTAAATCGTCTGTGAAAATTGGGAAATTCTTCCCCATGTTTGTGGCTTACCAGTACGCTTAAGTCTTTTTTCAATACTATTTTCATGAGTTTAAACCTAGAGTTGAGTTAACAATGTCTATCTAGCAGATAAAATTCAATGGAGTGAATTATTACTCTATTCCTGGGAATTAAGATAAAATATGCTTGCTTGTTTAATTGTTCCATGACATTGAATTGATTCTGACTCAAAGCAACAAAGTACTTACTGCCCCTGTGGGTTTGCGAGATTGGAGCCCATGACAGGAATAGAAAGCCTCAGCTTTTTATTTTTCAAACTGCTGATGTTGTAGTTAGCAGCCAATGCATTATCCACTATGCCACCAGGGCCAAGCATAAGATGAAGAGAAATCTACTTATTAGGTAGTAAACTCAATTGATTGAATATGGACCATTACATTTTAAATGAGTTCTTAAGCAAAATCACCAATAAAAGTACAATTTAAAAAATCAGCCACAACCCCAAAATTTAGGGAAATTTTAAGGTTATTTTACTACAAATGTACTACATTCTTGCTTCCAGTAATATAATTGAGCCCTGTAAAAGCCTTGTTTAAAATTGAAAAATAATTTTAATTAGTAAATAAACACAAGAAAATATGCAATTTTCCTGATTCTTAAATGCTTCCTCCACCCAACTACCATGACCCCAATTCTACCTTACATATCCGGCTGGACTGGAGGAGGTGCACTGGCACAGACAGGAACTGGAAATACAGTGAACCCAGGACAGATGAACCCCCCAGGACCAGTGGAGAGAGTGGCGATGGCGGGAGGGTGGAGGGAAGGAGAGGGAGAAAGGGGGAACAGAGGACAAGGTCTACATGTGGCCTCCTCCCTGGGGGACGGACAGCGGAGAAGTGGGTGAGGGAGACGTGGGATGGGGTAAGATATGATAAAATAATAATAAATTATAAATTATCGGGGATCGGGGGGAGTGGAGAGGGGGAAATGAGCTGACACCAGGGGCTCAAGTGGAAAGTGAGTGTCGTAAGAATGATGAAGTCAACATATGTACTAAAGTGCTGGACACAGATGACGTATGTACAGATTGTGATGAGTTGTATGAGCCCCTAATAAAATGATTTTTTTTTAATTGAAAACAATTTTAATTAGTAAACACAAGAAAATACTAAATATGTAAATTGTGAAAATAAAAATGTTAGTACATAAGGTCCACATTTGCTTTACTTTGTGGAAATGGCTCAATTTCAGAAGCCACTCAGTTAAAACAAGGTATTATCCTCTAGTGAAATATAAGGACTGATTTACTGAAATAAATTATTCAATTCATCTTTCCAAAAGCAGTCATCTTAATTGCTAAAGTTTAAATTTTTGAATTTGCTAATGAAGGGGGGGGAAACTCTTAGAAGACCATTACTATCTATACATACAATCCTTAAAATCTGAGTATCTTCAGTAGAGAACAAATTTGGATCAAATTTATTTTTTTAAGATAAAGACAAATGGAAGAAAAAAAAGATGAAGACAAATGTTTATACTGAGGATCCTGAAAACAGCACAAAAGAAACTATTTTGACCAAAAAAAATTGTTAAGTATTTTAAATTGTTAAAATGTAAGCCTTTGATACTTAAGATTAACACAGTATATGTTAAATTTCAATAAAAGCACTTTGAACATGAGGGAAATTACAAGTTGACTAGCGTTTACAGTCATTATTAAATAAAAAATCCTATGGAGATAGTTGCTAAAATTCAGAGTTGTATACTTTCCTATTTCCAGAAAAGGGATTTAATTACTTCTGAAGAACATGCTGCATCACGCTGAGACCAAGGGTGCCAACAGAATCCAACTAAGATGATAACTAGCAGCTGCAATCTGAAGAACAGTATACAATCTCTGCACAAAAATCATTACAAGTTACCCAGCATAAAAGCTATCTTTGCCTTACCTCAAATATTCACGATAATATACACTTGGGATGTAAAAGCAATTGCTTTTATTAAAAAAAAAAACAAAGAAAATGGAAACAGATTTCAGAGAAAATATCTCTAAACCCTAGAAAGCTTGGCTTCAGTAACCAAAAACCCAAACTCACTTGACATTCCATTGACTCCAACTCGTAATGACTTTACAAGACAGATTAGAACTACCCCACTGAGTTACCACGGCTGTAAATCTTTATGGAAGCAGACTTCCTTCCTTATCTCTCTCAGACAGAGGGACTGGTGGATTTGAACCACCGACCTCTTGGTTAGCAACCAAGGTCCTTTAACAATTGTGTGACCAGGGCTCCCTTTGCTTCCATAAAGTCATGTAAAAATGTCAAATCCCACCTAATAGTTTCTTCCTAGTCCTTTTGAATTCGTATTCCCAATCCTATGCCAGTGCTTTTCAAGATCTGTGCAGTTATCTTAAAACTGAGTGAGTATCACCAGCAAGAATCAATAGCAGAAGCCAACTGAGTATGTTTCTACCAACACAAGAAAGATTTAATAGGGTCCAGAATACACGAAAACACTTAAAACTTATAAATGATTGTTTGATAGACACACACATGCCTTCCATGTCAAAACAATTTCTGCCAACTAAAACAAGAGCAGGGTGAAACTAAGATGTTGGGAAATACATAAACAAATATTTTCCTCTAAAATACTTAGCTTTATTAAAGAAAGTACTAAAAATAACAAAGATTCCAACATTTTTCTCTATTCTACGTACATATCATAAATTAAGACAGCTGTTGATGCAAGACACACATTCCTTCACAATCGTTCCATATGCACCCAAGCATTCTTGTATCAGAATACAGTTTACTAGCCAACCGCATGTGGTTGAATGATTACAATGACCATCTATAATCTATACTTTACACAGTAAAGCATTTCCCAAAATTTTAATGTACAGTGACAAAAAGGAAAAAAAAAAGCACGTGCATGCACGTGCGAACACACAATAATTCTGAACATATGAAGAGTGATTAAGCAGCTTCATAATCAAACTCAGCTTCATTGCAATAAGGACAATTTTCTCCGTCCTCCACCACACACTTAGGTTCCAATAGTATTAACATTAAAGAAAAATCAAGGAGAAAACAAGTAATTAACATATTCCTACTCAGCTTTTTAAACTATAAAAGTAACTATTCCCATGAGGTAAGGCAACTGAGTAATTTGATTGTATTAGGTTTCAATAAAATAATTATACTTGATTTTTTAAATAACACATTAATTAAAAGGTAATGACATTTTGGAAATGTAACAATAATGAAGAGTTCTGAAACAGTGAGTTGTTTAAAGTTTTGAGGAAACACTGGCAATGTTACCATTTTACTATTTACACACTTTCTGCAAAAAGTGAGCCTAAGGACGGATGACCTGTTTTTTAAACTCAAGTAAACATATCCTTAAACCTAAGATAAGTAACTGCATCTAAGAGGCAACTTTCAAAAGGTCTGTGGAAAAGTGAAATTCCAACATAATGGAATTTTCCCACAGACTTTTGGGAGCCCCCTCATAGACACTCAATCCTCCCTTTAGATATAATTTCTGAACATCATTTATGAGAAAATGATTGAGAGGTATTAAGGCCATCCAATGTCGGTAACTATGGAGTTTCCGTTAAGTAAAATTAAGAACATGCTTCATTTTCAATGATCACAGTATAAAACTGATGGTCCCAAAACTGCATTTCTGTTTCGAGCTCTAGGCATTCTTGAAAACAAGACTTCGCTCTCACAAAGGTAAGCTAAGTAAGCTCCTGGTACATATACCAGTTACACACTGCCCTATGGGTGCCAATGGAATGCCCACCCAGGTTCCATGTGAATAAAGAAACGAATAGGACATATAAAACTCTAGAAAAACAGTATACCACGTTTTAGAAGGCACTAAAGCTTCAGCTTGTGCTCCCAAAGCCCACTTTGAAAACCCAGTTTCCTTTTTATAAGGGCGCCTTTGCCACCTACAGCTGACAAGACACACTGTAATATTATTCATAAAAGGCTTGGAAATGTAAAGGAAGTTCAAAGGGAAATGCTCACTTTATGGGGAGACTGATTCTTCAAAACACTGAATACTAATGTTTTGCCATTAGTATTCAACACAATTGCTCTTCCTTTTGCAACAGAACAGTAGCATGCATTGCCGGTTGTTTTCTAATCCACATATTTAAGCAATTTTAGTTTGTAAAACTATTTTAAAGAAAAACCACTGTCCTAAACAGGAAGCAAAAGAAAACACAATAGTGAGAATTTTACACACTCACTGTAAATCCTGTGAAGTGTTACAACTTCGTACATACTTTGCACTTACAAGGATGTGGGTATATTTGCACCATTTCAAGCACATCATCAAACTGTATATAACGAAATTTTTAAAAAAGTAAAACAATACAAAATTCAGTAACGTGTTTGTTTGCTTTTTCTTGAAAGAGCCTTCAATGCGGACTTCTAGTCTCCATGGAGAGCACAAGTTTGGATCTTTCAGAGTCCATTTAGTTGCAATCCTTCTTGGCAAACACGAACAAACCACAACAAGTATGTCAACCACCATGGAAATGCACAGATTTCAGAAGATGAGGAGTTTGGGTAACTTCTGTAATTTTCATGATGTCCATGCTTTATTTTCTTACTCAGTAACAAGATGGGCACAAAGTCAACTAACAACTGAAAAAGCTGTTAGCTCATATCTGTATGTTTGATTGGATTTCCTACCGGTCTACATCTTGTTGAAAGAATTAAAGCTTTGGATTTGACTCCAGCATTGAGTTTAGAAGTGGATCTATACTGCTTCTACTTTTGCAGAGGGGCTTTCTTCGTTTGGCTGACAATTCCCATTTTGCTGTACTGGATTTTCCTCGGTCCTTGGGGTTTGCTTGTCATCAGCTTCTTTGTCTGCACTTAAGTCTGGTTCTTTATTGTGCTCCTTCTCCTACAACAAAGATTAAAATATACATTTAGTACTTTCCTCAAGAGTTCCCAGCTAATACTCTTACATATGGCTATGTTTAAAATTCTTTAACTTTATTTCTTATGTTAATAAAACTGGCTATTTTCTCCATTACTCTTTCATACAAAAAGAATATGCAAATCTATACCAACTTGTCCTTATGCTTCTCATAAAAGATGGACAATGTATAGATATTAGAATACTGTAGGGAACAAAAATTCTAAGGAAGTGTTCGATATTGTTGGCAAACTTGAAAAGGTGGGATTTTACTGAAAAGAGCGAGATGATTCCAAAAGATGCCAAAATACATTTGTAACAAAGCTACAAAAGAGGCAACATTAGAGGTATGTGACGTGGAAAAAAACATCAGCATTTTTCCTGCAAAGGCTATTGAAGAACAACCTGAACGCTGTTCGACTTTAAAGAATTAAATGGGACATGTAAAACATTACTTGCTTGGAGCGTAGTAAATGGGTAGTAAATGTCTAACATCAGAGTTAACGATGAAAAAGATCTATCATTATGAGTCAATAAAACTTTAAGATGATGCTTTGGATCTCACAATTAAAATAATTTACTAACATAAAGATACAAGTAAAAAAGGAGATCTGGTATAGTTTACAAGTACCTAAAAATTTTAAAATAACAAAAAAAACTCTCAAGCACATAGATGAGCAGTCGGGAAAGTAATAAGACTGAATTGGTAGGAGTGAAGCAAATGAAAATATGAGAAGAATGTTGCCCAAACTGAAGAATCTAACCAATGTTACTGATATGTAGAAATTGTTAAATGAGAACTTGTTATGCTGTATATTCTTTCAGCAAAAATTCAATATTTAAAAAAATTAAGGAAGTTTTTCAAAGTTGACTTGGTGAATATAATAACTGCTCTAATTACTCTCAGTAAACGAAATTTTAAATACATATTACATGTTAACGACACTAAGACATTGTGACCCTTAAGAAGATTTTACTCTAAAAAGATATCTATGCAAGAAACAATCTCAATTATTAATTACCATATATACTTGAGTATAAGCCGACCCGAAAATCAGCTGAGGCACCTAATTTTAACACGAAAACTTGGCTTACACTCGAGTATATACGGTATTTTAAAATTCACTACCTTCCAGTCAACTCCGACTCATAGTGAACTGACAGTACAAGGTAGAACTGCCTCTGTGGGTTTCTGCATCTGTAATTCTTTACAAGAATAGAGAAGCTAAAAAAAAAAGAATAGAGAAGCTTCTCTTCCTCCCAAATTATTTACAACCCAGACAATAAATGATGGTGGCTTACTTTAAGTGGCGTATTGTTTTTTTCCAACTTTTCCTTTACATCTTTGTCATTAGAACTCTTTCTCGCAGAGGTTGAACGTTCTCGCTCTCTTCTTTCACTGATGTGGTCCCTCTCTTTTTCTTTCTTCTTATCTTTCTTATTTCTGCTTTAAAATTTTGACAATATACCAATTAATTTCTAAAATATTAAATACCTAGTTATAGTTTTTGGAAATATTCTTAGCAGAGTATCTTAAACTGGTTTGATCAAGTACATATCAATGAGTTCTATAAACACACTTACTTAAAATAGCCCATTAAGTAGCCCTATCTCCAAATAATTTTTAAAGTTATTCTTAGAGGCCATCACACACAAAATATAATTTAAAATGTGTTAGTTCCAAAGTATTCACGGATTATTACCTACTATAAGTGGAATAAAATAAAAACCAAATAGTGTTAATATTTTTCCAATAATTAAATGAATAAGCAGAAAGAAACAAAACAGATAAAAAATCCTATGAGGGTCCCAAATGAGTAATAGCACAGTTTGGAACATCAAATAACCTACTGTATCACCTGCTTACCATACAAATTCATGAGCAAAGTTTAAGCAGAACACAAAATAAGTAAAATGTTTCATTAAAAAAAAAAGCCCTTATAATTAGAAAAGGTGGCACCCTCTTCTTATTAAAAGCCAGCCATAACACAGGATTCTGAACTTTTTCCTGATAATTATGAATAATCGAAAAATAGACACAAGATCAGTGGAACAAGTTCCAAGCTGTTAAGGAACTTTTTTTTTTTTACAGTAAACATGTTTTTTATTTTTGTTTATAATTTTTTTTCTTAAACATCAGGGGCTCATACAACTCTTATCACAATCCATACATACATCAATTGTGTAAAGCACATTTGTACATTCATTGCCCTCATCATTCTCAAAACATCTGCTCTCCACTTAAGCCCCTAACATCAGCTCATTTTTTTCTCCCCGCTCCCCCCTCCCTCATGAACCCATGATAATTTATAAATTATT